AYGRMYWTTTWWMMTAAAATGACCTGCRGTACCAGTAATGTCTACAGACTGACTGAGCAKGTGCCACTGCACRAATGCATCATCCAAGTGGYAAAAAAAGTAGTTCCCTCTAASCACAAGATTTGAATAGTTATTTTCCACTGTCTATGATATACATTACCTGAAATGACTTAAGTWTCAATATATTGGTTTTAGTATTGATTSTAGACCATAAAGTTCTGGTATRGGTAGTACTGATATTTCAGTWTTGATCCACACATTACTATTCTTTCAGAGGGGCTCACTAATGCCTTCTGTTTACTTCAGGCCAGCTGGTGAAAATACTTCTGCTCACTGAGGTTACCCGCTACCTGGACTTCAAAGTTGTCGAGGGCAGCTATGTTTACAAAGCGGGGAAACTTCATAAAGTCCCCGCCACAGAGGAAGATGCTCATTGTTCAGGTGACAAATCAAGTTTTTCCACTTTTTAACTCCAGGTGGACATTTCACACATGATAATAAATAACYCACGTTTTCAGATCTGATGGGCATGTTTGACAAGAGGAGGTTCAAGAAGCTGCTGCACTTCGCCCTGAACTTTGACACGACGAACCCTCGCACCCACCAGGACGTGGACCCCCACAAAACCACCACGCAGGAGTTGTTCAGCCGCTTCGACCTGGGACAGGACGTCACAGAGTTCACGGGTCATGCCATAGCCTTGCACTCCAACGAGAGGTTGGTTAAAACCTGCAGAAAAGCCTCCAAATYAGTCAACGCCGACGGTCCGACCTATCTAGGATGTTCTTCARTTGCAGTTACCTGGATCAGCCCTGTTTGGAGACCCTGAACCGGATCAGGTTGTACTCTGAGTCTTTGTCCCGGCACAAATCCAGTCCCTACCTGTACCCGCTGTACGGGCTGGGGGAACTACCGCAGGGATTCGCCAGGTGAGACTCCCCCTCATGCAAATGATCACTTCACAAAACTGTCAAAGCTTGAAAAAGCTAWTTGATTCAAACTTCCCATTAAATATCTTCCATTTCAGACTGAGCGCYGAGTACGGAGGAACCTTCCTACTGAACAGGGCGGTGGAGGAGATTGTGATGGACAACGGTGAAGTGAAAGCGGTCAAATCTGAGGGAAAGGTGAAGCAGATGAAAGGCCATAGTAGAGTGTGGCTAAAGTCATCAACAGAGCTTAAAGTGCCTATGACATCAAAATTTTTGTAATAATACAAATGCATTTTCTTTTTGAAAGATAACACTGAGAATACATTATAAAATAATTTTCATGCTGCTGGGATGAACAGTTGTTGAGATATTTGCATGTGAAGTAACAGGAAGTGATGTCAAAGGGGAATGTCTGCATGAAAACAYAGCTAAGCTAAAATGCTCAACAGCCCAGACTGTGAAGAGAAATCTGATGTTTTAGATTATTTTGAGTCACTATAAGACAGAAACAAAAAAAAGAGTCCGAGTTCAAATAACAATATTTCAACAAACAAAGACCAGTGAGTTCTTTTTTAAAAGGAGTTCCCCTTTGATGTCACTTCCTGTTTCTCTTTTGCCAAGCCAAGTTCAAAACAAGATAGGCCAGTTATATGTGTCCAAATGGGTAAAATAATGTGTGGTTACGCCATGTTTCTTAAATAGAACAATGTTTTCTTTGACTTTTTGTGTCTGAAGGATAAGCATGTCACAGGCACTTTAGGTGAACTAAAATATTGTTTATCTTTGCTTCAGCTTTTTCACTGTAAACAGCTGATCTGTGATCCCAGCTACGTTCCCAACCGAGTCAGGAAAATTGGGCGAGTCATTCGAGTGATTTGTTTGTTAAACCACCCAGTCAGAAACACGCAGGAGGCCAGCTCCTGTCAGATCATCATCCCTCAGATGCAGCTCAACAGGAAGTCAGGTACAGCGCCAGTCGAAGCGTTGGCTCGACGCTAACAGCTCTCTGATAAAACCTCTCTCTTGTCCTCGCAGACATTTATATATCCGTCGTGTCCCACAGTCACGGTGTGGCCTCAGACGGGATGTACATCGCCACAGTGAGCACCACCGTGGAGACCAGAACCCCGGAGAAGGAAGTGCAGCCAGGCCTGGAGCTTCTGGAGCCCATCGTGCAAAAGTTAGTGACACAGATGAGGCTCTTGTTTCGTTTCTGACGCTGCATTCATTCAGCTGGCGTCATTTCTTGTGACTCTTAGATTCGTCTCCATCACCAACTTGCTGGTTCCCAATGAYGATGGAAGAAAGAGTCAGGTAATGATTTCCACCTGTTCCAAATAAAAGGTTGGGGCGTGTCAAGTGCTCATCATTACATCCCGTCTCCTCTCCGCCAATCAGATCTTTGTTTCCCGTTCGTARGACGCAACAAACCACTGCGAGACGGAGTGTGAGGACATCAAAGACATGTACCATCGTCTGACGGGGGCGGAGCTCTGCTTCTCACGCTCTCGACAAACGTCTCGCAGTTCTGAAAATGACTGAYGTTGTTCTCATCAGGACCACACAGTCCAACAGATACAATAAAAAATCAGCTGGAAAGCAGGGGGTGTAGCATGTAGATTGTGCTGTTTAAATGATTTTCCTGATTTGTTTGCTATCATTTTTCWTTTTTGTGAACATTTGCAGAACATTGTGGTGATAAGTTACTGGAAATCTTTAATATTATTAATATTAGCAACATGATTTGCTGCGTGCAAGTTTTATTTTAGCAGAACCTGAGCGTAATTTGTGAAACTCAAGAAGAGAGTAAAATGTTTGTAACTCTGGTTTGATTGTCAGTAATACATATCAAAATGGAGATCTTGTTGAAGCTAATTAGACTTTTTTTGGCATTAAATGTTGCGGCTTTTTTTTCCTGCTGCAGCATGGAAAAGTGATCAAGCTTGTGTAGGACGTGTGTTTAAAGAGTGAACATGTTGCACTGAGGCAGATGATTAGAGATGAACCAGACTGATGTGTGGAGGATTTGGGGATTCTCCTCTCCACCGGGGCTTATGCGTGAGAAGGACAAAGCCACTGAATTGTGTCGTGAGCTGCACAGGCAACTTGTCTGAGGCCAAAGAGGATTATCCAGATGAAGGACAGGCGCCACAAACACCGCCTCGCCCCAGAACCAGCTGGACATATTTACACAGAAAGTCACGCCTCGTTTCTTCAAATTGTGCTTCCAAACAGGCCAGACTTTCTTGTCTCCAGTGATCATCTGTAAATTACCTGTGAAAGTTTAAAGAGCAGTGCTTTTATTATTGTCAGTTTCAAGTTAAAACAAAGTGAAATTAAAAACCTTTGCATACAGCCTGACAGCCAGACATGGCCTTTGTGGTCCTAAGATTCTCAAAAATTGTTAAAAATTGTTACAGAAATAATCGTTTGTTATTTTCAGTAGAACAATACAAACTGTGTACGACCAGGACGAAAGCAACACAGAATCACCTCTGCTTTTTGCAGATGATGTGGTCCTGTTGGCTTCATCAGATCATGATCTCAGCTCTCACTGGAGRGGTTCACAGCTGAGTGTGAAGTGGCCGGGATGAGGATCAGTGCCTCCAAATCCGAGACCGTGGTCTTGAGCCGGAAACGGGTAGCGTGCRGCCTCCYGGTCGGTGAGGAGGTCCTGCCCCAAGTGGAGCAGTTTAAGTATCTCGGGGTCTTGTTCACAAATGAGYGAAGAATGGAGCGGGAGATCGACAGGCGGATTYGTGCTGCGTCTGCAGTGATGCGGGCGCTGTACCGGTCTGTCGTGGTGAAGCGAGAGCTGGGCCAGAAGGCAAAGCTCTCGATGTACCGGTCGGTCTACGTTCCTACCCTCATCTATGGTCACGAGCTTTGGGTAGTGACCGAAAGAACGAGAGCGTGGATACAAGCGGCCGAAATGAGTTTCCTCCGCAGGGTGTCTGGGCTCTCCCTTAGAGATAGGGTGAGAAGCTCGGTCATCCAGGAGGGACTCAGAGTAGAGCCACTGCTCCTCCACGTCGAGAGGAGCCAGTTGAGGTGGCTCATCTGGTTAGGATGCCTCCTGGACGCCTCTCTGGTGAGGTGTTCTGGGCACGTCCCACTGGGAGGAGACCCAGGACACGCTGGAGGGACTAAGTTTCTCAGCTGGCCTGGGAACGCCTTGGGATTCCCCTGGARGAGCTGGTCCAAYTGGCTGAGGAGAGGGAAGTCTGGGTCTCTCTCCTTAGGCTGCTGCCCCCACGACCCGATCCCTGATAAGAGGAAGAAAATTTACGGATTGACAGTGTGAATTTAAGTGATGGTTTTTGTTCTACACCAGAGGACAGGAAGACAAATTAGCTACTCTGGGAATAGAATGAGAAATTTCCACTTTAATTTGTCTGTTGTATCTTATAAAACTGTTTATAAGGTTTGTTTCAGAGAAACAGCCTCTGAACTATCAGTGTGTTTTATGTTCCTCCWTACAAGAATAAAAACACTTTAAAATGAGCAGAATCATAGAATTTATTAAAAAAAACTCAAAACACTAACAATGTTGTAGAAAAGGTAATAAGCTGTCTGGCCAAAATAAATAAATAAATAAATAAATAAGTCACCACCTGGATTTATGAGGTCTATGATGTGAGGTTGCTGCAGTTGGTCAGGTTTAGGTTCAGCAACAGTTTGTGCTCAAAGAATGWGGTCAGCTGACCTGAATATACTGAATGACCAAGTTATTCCATCAAGTTTTTTAGTGTATTTTCCACACTTGTCTTTTTTTTTCCAAACCTGGAAAATACTCAAATAAAATTGTTTTTTTTTAAGACTGCATAGGAAGCRTGGTTGTTGTAAAATGTAGATTTTAATGAGCTGCTTGACAACTTTCCCCTCAGGGATAAATAAAGTATGAATCAATCAATCAATATGGTCAGGTCTTTACTGGATTTTTTTCCCCTTTAAGTCACGATTATTATGGTTTACACGGGTTTTTTTTTTGGCCTGACATTTTTCTTTTGTCCTGTTTTCATTATTCTTCTCTCACATTGCCGAAGTCCAAAGAGAAACTCTGAAAGATCATCAGAAAGTCTGAAAAAAATATACAAAACCACAAGAAGCTCATTAAAAACTAAATACAAAAAATGAGAGGAAATAAAAGCTTTTCTCAGTTCTCTATAAAACCATTTTATTTATGAACAAACACATTGTTTCACCACTGTCATGCAAATGTAAAATAAAAAAATTGAATGCTGAGTAGGTTTGAAAACTCAATAAATTAATTATTATAGATGTACAGTATTTACTAAATACACTATAATGCTATTTAAAAAAAGATGCTCATTTATTCAGTATATAGTTTTACTTTATGACWTGAATCATCAGCGGTTTTCACAAAAAATAAAAATCCTCACAGAACTTGTTGGTTTTAGGTCGACGGCTGCATTTTCTCCTCATGATGTGGAACATTTTTTCTGCTCAAACACTGAACAAAGAAATACAACCAAACTTTATTTTGACCTCTGAGAATCACCTGAAACAGATGCTCGCTGACAACCAGCCACCGCTTCAGGCCGGCAGGCGATGACAGCCGCTTCTGACAACGTTTATCCAAATAAATGTCGAGACCAAACATCCAAGCTGGATAAATTTGTTATGACCTTCGAGGAGCTCCTGTTCTCAGCCTCTCGTGTCGCTGACGTCCCATCAGTTAGTCCTGAGTGATGTCCACAGCCGTGCTCCTCACAGAGGGAGGAATCAGACCGGCCGCCACCAGCCGTCGCTCGCTGTTCAGGAAGTTGAATGTTGCACAAGCGTTGGGCTGCAGAGGAGTTCAGACAAGTCCAGATCAAATTTATTTGCTGTTTTCCAGTCTGTGTTAAACMGTGCCGTTTCCTGAGACACTGAGCAGAACCTACCGTGTCCAGCACCTCCACGGCGATGCCTTTGCGCCTCAGAAGAGCGAGGACTGAGGGTTTAATTTGTTCGATCCGAGCTCCTGTTCCCAGCACAAGAATTTCTTCACAAGCAAYCAAATAAAAACATAAAGACAAAAACAGAAACAAATCAGAGAAATCAAAAGTATACACATTCATTACACAACTATAGATGCTAAGGTTTAAAAATACTTCTCAACTCAAGCTTTTTACTTAAAAAAGTGTAAAAGTACTGGCTTTGAAACTACTTAAGTATAAAAGTGAAAGTAATGTAGAGAAAAAAATGTCATTAAAGATAAATCCTCAGTCCACGCCAAAAGGGTCTAAGTGCACCCAACACCTCTAAAAAAACAAGTTTCTAAAGGCCATAATTACAATAATGTTATATTAAAATGTTAATGTAATTCGGGATCTTTACATTAGTGTGCATTTAATTTACCAAATGTTGGTTCAATCATGTGGAAAAGTGAAACACTTTCTTCTGTTATGTCTTCATGACTACTAACCTGCAAAAAAGGAGACATTTACAACAATTATTATCAAATGCAAGCTTTGCAGCTAACGTGTGTGGATCATTTGGATGCTGGTCTCACATTCCACTGCAGGATGGCAGGAAGTAACAACGCGCAGGGCCCAAACACCTGATTACTACCGATGATAAAGCCTGTTGGACTGTAGCTGTGGATTTGGGTCCCACTCTCGTCCTCCTTCTTCAGGATAGAAATGCTGCTTTTCTGGTGCAACTCATCGTCCCCAGGTTCTAATCTGTGCCCACGAGTTAGAAATGGGCTGGAATTAAATAAAGAAAAAAACTGAGTTAGAACTAGTAATAAACTGTTTTTTGTTATTTGTTTTCAGTGTAAGCAAAGATGGCTTCTGAGCTGTGACACTGGGTTCTGCTCTGCAAAGAACCAAAATAGGATCAACAGTTTTAGAATTTACCAATTCATGCAGAGAGACGGTTTATTAAAACGAAACATAATCCAGTGTTAGGATTTACTGTAGGTAAATAAGTTAAATAGTGTCTGAAGTTTTACTTAAAAAGTTAACATGTGGAATTAATTGAATTATGCTGGATTTTATTACAAACATTCTGAATCTGAGGAGGAGTTTAATAAACTAAACTGAACTTATAACCAGAAAAATAAATGAGGTAATTCAGTAAAATGTGAATACAAAAAGAATGGGTCAAAAATAATATTATATCACTTTAAATTCGGCCAATTTGTAAAACAGTGAGTGAGTGACCCCGACTTTCATAACAAAGACACAAAGGCAGTGAACATAATTTTTCAACAAACACTTTTTAATTTTAAGAATAAATATTTAAAGTTAATACCTAGATAAAGCTGATCTTGCCTTAGAAGAGAACAAAATCCTCCCAGTCGACCTCTGAAATAATCTGCTACACGCCGCAGCGGCCATTGTTCCGGTGACACCAAGGGGGACAGAATTCTTTGTAACACCAGGCTACTATTTCCGGTGTCGAGCAAAGAACGGTCGAACATTAATGTTTTTTACATCTATGTTTTTTTATTCATAAATGTCGCTTTTTAAAAATACACCGATCCTTCCTTACATATCAGAAAAGAACTCTGTTACTTTATCTCATATGTAAAGTTGATGGACAAAAAACAAACAGTAAAAKTGTATTATACTACTGAACCTTTCAAATAACCCCTAGTTTACAAGTGATGTCCTTGTTTGTTTTTTAAGTCTCTTTTGTTGTTTATGGTTTTTCCCTTATTATTTTATTTCAAATTCTGTATTTCATTATACTGTAATAGTCTGTTTTGGTCTTTGTTCAAACCGGCAAGATTATCCTGATGCCATATTTGTAGTAAATGTCTTCTTTCTTTAATTTAAAAAAATCATATTTTGTTTACTTGTTTGTTTTTAATAATTTGCATGCATTGATTTCTGTTAAATATGACTTTTCGTTCAAAACAAAAAGTAATATGTAACACGTCATCATTGATGTATTATTTTAAATTATTAAAATTAAAGTGTTATTAATTTGTTGATTTAGTCAAAAGGACAAATTACCATTGAAAAATAGCTTATACCATGCATCATCACAAAAACATTTTTAAAATTATATAAAACCGTTTAAAATTAGGGCTACATTGATCTGTAGGAACAATTTTATGTTGGATGTAAAAACGGTTATATCTTTCTTTATGGCATGACTATTTGAAACAAAACAATAGCTAAAACAATAGTTAGATGCTATAAGTAGCCAAAGGATAGCTAAAAGCTAAAACCAAATAACATTTGACACCGATTTCTGTTATAATTTTCAACACAGGCCTGAATATGTCTGACAGATGTTTAGTTATATCAGTTTCTCTGATGACATTACTCTTCCTAACAAAGCAGGAACTAAAAAAAAGCTTGAAGCTGAAGTGTCAGAACAATCGCTAGAATAAGATCGCCTTATTCTATGCAGAATAAGCTATATAAGGTGAATGTTTGGCAACATTTATGAAGTATCAGAAGAGGAATGTGTTCAGCTTTAATGAGGKTCAGTTGAAAGACTGTTATTAGACAGTAGCTACAGGCTAAAAGTAGCAAAAAGCTAGCAGCCAAATTCATCAAAATGATGGCTAAAAGCATGAAATGTTGAAAGTTTTTACTATTTCTTTTTTCACTCTAACATGAACATGTATATGTTTGTCTCATAAATATGCAATTGCTTTTTTTCCTTGATGAGAAAACATACAAAAAATAGAGAAAAAGAAAATAATAAAGAAAATCTGTTCACTGAATTATCTGAAAGTTTTTTTTTATCTTTATTTACAAGTTTTCACTACATAACAAAATGGRACCCATTCGTTGCATTGAACAATTCAAAAAGGCGCTTTATGAACTAAATAAACATAAAATTAACAGTAAAAACACAACAACAAAATGAAGAACATATATTAACAAGGGCCAGCATCAAGTATTGTATTATCATTTAAARATGAGAAAGGGTTTATTTAAGGAAATTAAAAATTTCCAGAATTTTATGAAAGTTGGAAACTCCACCTGCACAAAATCTGCCCGCTCTGGGTTTGATTAAACTGTCTGGTGGGCCTGTTCCGGATGTGACAGCGCCCCCCGGTGGAGAGTCGCGGAGCAGCCGGGTCAGATGATCCGATTGTAAATAGACATCAGCGCTTCAGACCGGAGCCTTCATGGGCTCTTTAAARCAGCCCCAGCAGCGCAGATTCTTCCACTCGGGTCCTGTTCTTTAAATAACATTTAATTTGCAGMMTTTTTTTTGTTTGTGTTAAAGTATCATTAAGTATGTACCGGTCTCTGTACGCCTTCCGGTCCWCGGAGCCGAACTCGCTGCACTTCTCGGCCGGAGAAAGCTTTCTGATCCTGGAGAGGAGCAACAAACACTGGTGGCTGGGGTCCCGCTGCAGCTCGGGGGAAACCGGTTACATCCCGGCCTCTTATATCGAGAAAATAAAGGTAAATTACACTTTTTTAACTCTGTGGTTCTTATATTCATATGTAAATGAAAACAGAGATGATTCTTTGTCTTTTTGCTTCACCCTGGGGTGAAATAAAAATACACTTTGTTCTGTAGGCCGGGATGAGGCTGTCTGCGCAGGTGGAAGATGCATCTTTTGCATAGGAACTCATAAATTATTATCATGCAGGGTTTATCTGCACTGCAGCTGCAGAGAGGGGAGGAAGGAGAGGATAGGAAGGACACAAGACAGCAGATTTAAGAACAAGAAAGACAAAAAGTAAATCTGTCTCAGCTTTGAGTCACACCCTCATGAGCTCAGTAATAATGGGGTTTCCTCCCTTCCAGGGATGCAGGACTAGTCGGAGCTTGCATGTTTGGCAACATTTATGAAGTATCAGAAGAGGAATGTGTTCAGCTTTAATGAGGCTTAGTTGAAAGACTGTTATTAGAGAAGTGTCCTAGTTTGTTTCTGCCTCAGGGTCACACTTGTCCCAAAGCTGTGGCCTGTTCATTTTCAATGAATATTTCATTTTTTTTATAAATTATTTTTCTAATTGCATATGTGCCAGGCACCGGAGCAAGATGATGTGCTGCAGTCCATCGATCGAGCGATAGAGGGAATCCACAACGTGGCCTTAAACAACGGAGGCAAATACAACCTCGAGCAGCGGGATGTTCTACAGTGAGTCAGAGAGTTAGAAAACTGTTATAACTGTATCATAAGTTGATCTATTTGTGTTATAACTGTGTTATGAGACTTGTTGTTCTGTCTGGGTTATAACTGTGTTATAACTGATCTATCTGTGTTATGACTGTCCTATCTATATTATAACTGTTATAAGTTTTTCTGTGTTATAACTGTGTTATAAGTCGTTCTATCTGTGTTATAACTGTGTTATAAGTTGTTCTGTCTGTGTTATAACTGTGTTATAAGTTGTTCTATCTGTGTTATAACTTATAAGTCGTACCATCTGTGTTATAACTGTGTTATAAGTCGTTCTATCTGTGTTATAACTGTGTTATAAGTTGTTCTATCTGTGTTATAAGACTTGTTGTTCTATCTGTGTTATAACTGTGTTATAAGTTGTTCTATCTGTGTTATAAGACTTGTTGTTCTATCTGTGTTATAACTGTGTTATAAGTCCTTCTGTCTGTGTTATAACTGTGTTATAAGTTGTTCTATCTGTGTTATAAGACTTGTTGTTCTATCTGTGTTATAACTGTGTTATAAGTTGTTCTATC